ATAATGCCATATTATTTTTCAAAATGATTATATTATTTTATACTCTACACCAGCCCTGTATAAACTTTTTTGTTTCGGGCCGGGCGCGGTGGCTCAAGCCTGTAATCCCAGCACTTTGGGAGGCCGAGGCGGGTGGATCACGAGGTCAAGAGATCGAGACCATCCTGGTCAACACAGTGAAACCCCATCTCTACTAAAACTGCAAAAAAATTAGCTGGGCATGGTGGCACGTGCCTGTAATCCCAGCTACTCAGGAGGCTGAGGCAGGAGAATTGCCTGAACCCAGGAGGCGGAGGTTGCGGTGAGCCGAGATCGCGCCATTGCACTCCAGCCTGGGTAACAAGAGCGAAACTCCGTCTCAAAAAAAAAAACAAAAAAACAAAACAAAAAAAAAAACTTTTTTGTTTCACATCTTTGTCAATAGCTAGTATTATCAGTCTTTTGAATTTTAGCCATTTCAGTGAATATGTAGTGGTGTCTTATTGTGGTTTTAGTTCACATTTCCCTGGTTACCAAGATTAAGCATCTTTTCATATGTTTATTGAAAATTTAGATATCCTCTTTTGCAAAGTGTCTGTTTTGATTTCCTACCCATTTTTCTCTAGATTGTTTACCTTTTTCTTTGAATTTGTATGAATTCTTTGTATATTCCTCACACCAGTCCATTGTCGGTTATATATTTTACAAATAATACTTTCTTCCATACTGTGGCTTTTTACTCTTGTGTTTTTTGATAAACAGTTCTTAAATATTGAGTAGCCAAATATATTGATTTTTTCCCCTTGTATTAATACTTCTGGGGCTTCATTTAAGTGGTTATTCTCTAGAGATCATGAAAATATTCTCCTATATTATTTTCTAATAATTTTGTTGTTTTGCCTTTTACATTTAAATGTTTTATTAAAACCATTCACAATTCTAACACTATATGTTATCTAGAAATCACCCAGAGTTGTTTGTATATGGTCGGAGGTAGAGGTCAAGTTTCCATTTTTTTTCCATATTGATAACCAGTTGTGACAATGTTACCTTTTTTCTGCTGCTCTGCAGTGATTCCTTTGTCATCAATCAAGTGTATACACATGGATCTGTTATGAGTTCTCTACTCTGTGCCATTGGTTCATTTGTTTATCCCTGCACCAATAATGAGTGGAATTAATCACTTAATCTTTTTAAGTCTTGATACCATATAGAAGACTTCCTGCCTTGTTCTTGAGAAGTGCCATAATTATTGTTATATTTTCCTATAAATTTTAGAATCCTTGTCAAAATCCACCAAAACTAAACAGCAAAAAGAAAAATGAAACAAACAACAACCCTCCTTCCCCAACAAATAGTGCTTGTTTTATTTGCTTAGATTTTCTAACATTTCAATAGTGTTTTATACTTTTCCACGCAGAGGTTTTGTATTCTTGCACATTATATTTATTACTAAATATTTTATATTTTATGTAGCTATTATAAATTTGTTATTTGCTCTATGGCATGCTATCATGAATCAATGGATCAACTAGGTAGATATAGTGTTAGAATTGTGAATGGTTTTAATAAAACATTTAATTCTATATGGTTCCGTTGTCAAATACAAAAATTTCCACTTGCTTAAAAATGTTGTAACATAGAGTTGGGTGCAGTGGCTCATGCCTATAATCCTAGCACTTTGGGAGGCCAAGACAGAAGGACACTACTTGAGCATAGGAGTTCACGACCAGCCTGAGCAATATAGCAAAACCTTGTCTCTACTAAAAAACAAAAAAATGCCAGGCATGGTGGCATGTGCCTGTAGTCCCAGCTACTTAGGAGGCTGAGGTGAGAGGATTGCTGGATCCCAAGAGATGGAGGCTGCTGTGAGCTTCATCAAATCACTGCAAGATGTCCTTCGGTAGGTGAATGAATTAACCATACTACATCCAAACAATGAAATATTATTCAGTGCTAAAAAGAAATGAGCTATCAAGCCATGAAAGGACATGGAGGAACCATAAATGCACTTTACTAAGTGAAAAAAGCCAATCTGAAAGGCTATATACTGTAAGATTCCAACTATGTGACATTCTGGAAAAGGCAAAACCATAAAGACAGTGTAAAAATCTGTGGATGCCAGTGGTTAGCAGGGAGAGAGGAATGAATAGATGGAGCACAGATAATTTTGAGGGCAGTGAAACTATTCTGTATGATACTATAGTGATGGATACACATCATTATACATTTGTCAAAACCCACAGAGTGTACAGCACCAATAGCGAATTCAATACAAATATGCAGGAATTCCTCATTTGGGTAGTATGCAGAAAAGTTACCCCAACAGGCCTAAGACTGCTGTCTTCAGAAAGTCCTGCTTCCCAAAGGCTGGCCTCTAGGTGGATGTGGGAGTGTTCCCGCTGTTCCCTGAGTCTCTAATGAGCTTCCATTAGAGAAGAAAACACTTCACACATGTTGTCACAATGTGATGCTTGTGCTTGGCTTCCTCCTGTCTTCTTCCTGTGCACTTTTCCCCTTTGCTGCTTTTGCTTTATATTCTTCTGCTGTAATAAATCTTAACTGTGAGTACAACTGAGTCCTATGAGTTCTTTTAGTGGATCACTGAACCTGGGAGTGATCTTAGGGATCCCCAGCACAGATACATATGTGTTTTCTTCTGCGTCACAGAATACAGTCTGATTCTATGAGTCAGAAGGCTTTTTTCTTGAAAATTCGATTCAATGCAACCATTCATATTAACAACATAGTTATATTTCAGTATAATGGGGGATTGGTTCCAGGACTCCCAGATACCAAAATCCATGGATGCTCAAGTCCCTTATGTAAAATGGCATAATCTATGCACACCCTCCTGTATACTTTAAGTAAACTCTAGATTATAACACAATGCAATGCTATGTTGACAGTTGCTATTACTGTATTTTTAAATTGCTATATTTGTTATTTTTAACTATTGTTATCTGACATTGGTTAAAACCATGGATGTGGAAACTCTGGTTATGGTGGTTCAATTGCACTTTTTTTTTTAGCTTTTTTTTCTTTTGAGACAGGATCTTGTTTTGTCACCCAGTGCAGTGGCGTGATCACACTTCACTTCAGCCTCACCCTCCTGGCCTCAAGCAGTCCTCTCATTTCAGCCTCCCCAGCAGCTGGGACTATAAGCTTTTATCACCACACTGGCAAACAGGGCTAATTTTTTGCTTTTGATTTTTTTGTAGAGACAGGGTCTATGTTCCCCAGGCTGGTCTCAAACTCCCGGCCTCAAGTGATCCTCCTGCCTCGGCCTGCCAAAGTGCTGGGACTGCAGGTGTGAGCTACAGCGCCTGGCCCAGTTTTTCATTCTGAAAACTCGTATTCTTCAGTCCTGAGAGCCTTGATAATTACTTGCTGCTTTTCTTTTCTTTTTTTTTTTTTTTTGAGACAGAGTCTTGCTCTGTCACCGAAGCTGGAGTGCAGTGGTATGATCTCTGCAAACTTTGCCTCCCTGGTTCAAGCGATTCTCTTGCCTGAGTCTCCCAAGCAGCTAGGATTACAGGCGCCTGCCACCACACCAGGCTAGTTTTTATATTTTTAGTAGAGACAGGTTTTCGCCATGTTGGCCAGGCTGGTGTGAAACTCCTGACTTCAAAGTGCTGGGATTACAGGCATGAAATACTGTACCCGGCCTAAATTACTTCTTTCTTCTCATTTGTACTACTCTGCTTCTCAAGCATCCTTAAGAATTATTTAATTATTTCATCCCCTGTGTACTGCTTTTCCAATTTTCTTATCTTTCAGAGTTTTTGCTCTACATTCCTTAATGTTATCTTCTGCTAATAGTTTTTTCACTTCTGTCTTTCTTATTTCCAATAACTTTTTAAAAATCCCCTACCCCTTTTATTGCACCCTGTTGTGGCTTCATCTTATTTTTCTGGGGCTACTATGAGAATTTTCAAAAAGTGTTCTTCCTGCAGTATCTCCTTCCTCTGTATTCCTTTGTCTGTTGTTTGGGTCCCTTCCTTCTACATTATTGGATTTTCTTGGTTGCTGTCCATGATTAAAAGTAAAAATTAAGTGCAAAGAGAGGAAGCTCCAAGTAGATAGCCGGTGCTTTTGACTTTGAATTTCACTGTAGGGTGATCTGGTTATATGATTTGTCCAGAAAATCCCTGAGGTCAGTATCTTTGCTCAGCCCCTTAGGTTAATCAGATTCTGATCAGCCTAGCAAGGGGTTTCAGTTTTCAGTTGGCATAAAGCCACTTATTCTCCGTTTTAGGTGGAGTACCCACTCGGCAGAGAATTCGCCCCCTCCGGGAAATTCAGCCAGGGTGGGGAGCCGGTGCGTGGGGAAGGGGGGCAGCTGCCCAGAGACATGAAGCTGGAAAATGGATCTAGCGGTCAGAGTCCTTGAGCAGCTTTCGACTAATCTCCCATTTTTTTGATTTACCTCTCATACTCATACTTGTGCTCTCCAGCTTCCAACATTTTGTTGCTGTTATCTCTTTGTCCTTGTGTGTTTAGGTTGTTACTTGATTTTAACAGGAGAGTAGTCACAATTAGATGCTTGAATTCAAACCGTGATCTTAGCTCAGACCTGATTATCTGTAAGTAAAAATTTTTCGTATTCCAGGTTTCTTTTGATTAGCAAAATAAAAAAGAAAAGTCTTTTGGTTACTCTAAAAGTCTTTTGGTTACTCCAACCATGTTACTCAGTAGGCCCTTCCAAAGACACCCATTTCTCTATTTTGGGGATCCCCTTGTACCTTCAGACTCCACAAGGAGTATCCGACCAGCCACTACAAAACGAGATGCAGACTGTTGGGAGAATTATAAACAGTAGGGGTGATACCCATTTGAGTCCACGAACGGCTCTCTCAGAGCTGCAGGCACTGGCTGTCCCCGAGATCCTCCAGCAGCCACTTAACTTCACCCACCGGCAACGCTCGACGCCCAATCTTTCCCCGCCCTGGAGCCCCGCCCCACCCCGGAGCCCCGCCCCTCCCACCCCTCCCTTCCCCGACGCGCAGCAGGCCCCGCCCACCCAGGCGCTAGGAACGCGCTGTGGCTTCTTCGACCCGCTGCCATGTCCCGGCCGCAGCTCCGACGCTGGCGCCTCCTAGCTCGCCAGCCCCGCGGCGTTCTGGGTCTAGTGCTGCTGGCGCTGCCGCTCGCGGCCGGGACCGACTGCCCGTGCCCGGAGCCAGAGCTCTGCCGTCCGATCCGCCACCGTCCAGACTTCGAGGTCAGCGCCTTCCCCTGCTCCTTTATGTCTGGGCCTCAGGGCACGAAGAAGTTGTCAAGAGTAGAACCCAGCCCTTAGGAGAGGTGCTGTGACCGCCGAAACCAGCTTTGACCACTCAGTGAGGGCCTTCCTGCTTAGGGATCTTTCAATTTATAGATGAGGAAGTTCTGGCTCAGAGAGGTTAACTCCTCACAGGCCTCACAGCCTGCAAGTGCCTGCCTAGGCAGGCGAGTGTTCAAACCGAATCTGACTCCTAAGGCAAGCTCCTTTCATTCCCCTGCTCTGCTTCTGCCGAGGCACTCTGGGTGTAAAAAGCAAACAAGGTAGGATAATCCATTTCTGTGTTTCCAAGAGAATGAGGATTTTGTTTGAAAGAATCTCAGCACTCCCAACAGTACATTAGAATGCAGAGTATTTTGCTTACCTTTACTTTTCTATACCTACTAGTCCTTTCCTTTAAAGCATCTCAAAACCACCCAAGAAGAGTGGTAAAAATAGGTCTTTCAGTACGTTTTTCTTCTATCTGCATAACAATTTATAAGTCTTCAAGTCCATTAACCTGAGGCATGGGCACTTAGGTGCCAGTAAAAAAGTATATATACATGACTTAGGAGAAGAAATAAAAATGGTGAAAGTGTTTATGGAGAACCTGCCTAGTGTGGAAACCTAACATCTTATTAAAAGAAAATTTTCAGACAAAGTAGGATAACCTTGTTTATTTGAGCAAAGAACAGCTTATGAATTGGCAGTACTTAGAAGAATTTCAAAGAGGTCTGCTTTAGTAGCATGGGCTTTTTATAGGCTGAACACGGAAGCAAAGGAAAATAATTACTTGGTTGGCTATGACTGTTTGCCTTATTTAGCTATGACTTGGGGAAAAATTCCTAGTTAGAAAAATTCCTGCCTAGTTGGCAGTTTCTGATAGGTTAAGCTTAAGTTTTCCTTTACTATTTATATTGGGCTGTAGTTTGCTTAAGCAGGAAATCCAAGGCAGTTGGAACAGTTTTAGCATAATGGCCTCCCAATTAAAAAGTTTTAAACAATCTGAGGCCGAGTGCGGTGAGAGAGGCAGTGGGGGCAGTAGCTGTAAAAGTTAAACCAGACATTTCTTAATTTTCTCAATCTCTTTTTGAGATTGATAATCATTTTGTAAGGCCAGGGCGGGCGGATCACTTGACGTCAGGAGTTCGAGAACAGCCTGGCCAAAATCGTGAAACCCCATCTCTACTAAAAAATACAAAAATTAGCCAGGTGTGGTGGAGGGTGCCTGTAATCCCAGCTGCTCAGGAGGCTGATGCAGGAGAATCGTTTGAACCTGGGAGGCGGAGCGGGAGTTGGAGGTTGCAGTGAGCTGAGGTCACGCCAGTGCACTCCAGTCTGGATGACTGGGCAAGACACTGTCTCAAAAAAAACAACAAAAAACAATAGTGGGTGAGACAATATCTGTGGGCACTTTGAAAACCAACTATATAGAAAGAAGCAAAATTATGCTCATGAATGTTCACGGCAAATGGTCTTTTTCCTCTACTGGCGTTTTCTATGTTTTTCAAACACAAAGACTAGACTACATGGCATTTTCCCCTTATATTTTTGTTAAGCATGCTCTGAATGAAGAGCCCACCTAAACAGCCTTTGTGTGAGCGACAAGGCTGTTTATTCACCAGGGTGCGAGTACACTGAGTCTGAAAAGAGAGTCAGCAGAGGGCGGTGGGATAGGAGTTGGTTTTATAGGTTTGGGGTAGGCAGTGGAAAGTTACAGAAGTTATAGTTTAGGGTGGTTTTTTCTTGTTTGTTTGTTTTGAGACAGTCTCACTGTCGCCCAGGCTGGAGTGCAGTGGCGCGATCTCGGCTCACTGCAACCTCCACCTCCTGGGTTCAAGTGATTCTCCTTCCTCAGCCTCTGGAGTAGCTGGGAGTACAGGCACGTGCCACCATGCCCGGCTAATTTTTGCTTTTTTTAATAGAGACGGAGTTTCACTATGTAACCAGGATGGTCTCAATCTGCTGACCTTGTGATCCAACCGCCTCGGCTTCCCAAAGTGCTGGGATTAGCCACCCCACCTAGCCATTCAGAGTGGTTTTTTGCAAGCTAACAGGTGTGGGAGGTGGGGAAGGGGTGTCACAAGGTCCAAGGTCCAGTGTCACAAGGTTGGCTTATCAGTTAAGCCAGAACAGTGGTGGAATGTCTCAAGGTTGATCGGGCACTGCAGGATCTATCTATTCTTCATTTGATGCAGGGGGAGGGGAGTGTCACAAGGTCCAAGGTTCAATGTCACAAGATTGGCTTATCAGTTAAAGCAGGAACAGTTGAGGCTGGAACAATGGCATTCTTTCTTCTTTCTTGCCATTCTTTCTTCTTTTCTGGAGATGTACATGCAGGTCACAGGGGTCACCATGGCTTGACAATGGTGTAGCCCATGGTGCAGCCAGTTCAAAGAACCTTGCATTCCTGCCTTTTTATATTAATAATATAAAGGAAAAAGGTGAAAACTAGAAAAAGTTGTGGGGGCAGTGAAATTTTGGGGGCGGTATAGAGGGGTGATGGGTGATGTTTCTCAGGGCTTCTTTGAGTGGGATTGGGGTGGTGTGCAGACCTAAAAATAAGAATTTAGACTGCCAAGAGATTTTGGGGCAAAGGTTGATATAGTGGGGTTGTTAAAAGGTGCATTTGTTGTATTGACTGATTGGTTATAGCTTGGATACGATTTTGTAGGAATTAAGAGTCTGAAAAGGCAAGGTCTGAATAAGAGAAGCAGAAAAATGGGCTAAGGGGCCTGACAATGGAAGGAGCCATGATACCCAGTTAGAGAGTAGCCATCTAGGTCCAGAATAATTATTTGACTGATTAGTGAGATTTTGGATCCTGTCTTTAAGTCTTTGATGGCATCATATACAAGGCTGGATTGGTTTAGATAAAAGCAACATTCTTCATTTAGTAATAGGCCGAGTCCTCCCTTCTCAGCAGCCAGTATATCAAGGCCTCGGCGATTCTGGAGGATAGCTGCAGCCAGGGAATTAACTTGGGCTTGGAGAACAGATAGAGTTTTGAGTTATGTCTGAAATGCTGGCGGAAAAATCATTAGAGAGACTGCAGAATGTGGTGGTAAAGTAGTAAGGCCTGCTGTACCTGTCCCGATTGCAGCAGTGGAGACTCCTAATCCTACAAGCAAGGGGGTTAAAGGAACGACTCTTTTTTTGTCATGTAGGAGTTACAAAGGGGACAGGGAGGGGTTCATTTCCATTGGCAAACTGGATTTTGGGAGTAAGGAAAATTAGCTTGTCTAGTTGTTAGGAAGCAGAGGTAGGTGGAAGAGCCACAGAGGAAAAAAAGTCCTTGGCTGAGGCAGAATTGGAAGTGTAGACTGAAGAGGTAAGAAAGTGTTCTGGAGGGCTGGGGTCTTTTACCCAGATATCAAGGGAACCAGCAAAGGCTGCGGCTGTTAAAGGGTGTAGTGGGGTTTGATAGGGTAATTGTGTGGAAGGAGAGGTCTTGTTTCCTTGGTGTATGAGAAAGCGTTTCATATCTATGAGTAACCATTCACTTTCATTAATAAGTTTAGGTATGAGCAGGCAGGAAAAGGGATCTGGAGGAGAGTCTGATGAACAAGGGGAGGGCACCTAAGGATGGGGTGAGAGAGGGTAAATGCCTACCTAGGCAAAACTTGCTATTGACATTCTTAAGAGTGCTAGTAATGAGGGAGGGCCTTTCAGTAACGTGAATTTGGTATGTTCCTATTTCTTGGTTAACATGGGTTACAGGGCCTTAGAGGTGAAGTGTAAAGGAACACAAAGAGGTTTCCTAGGGGAATTCCATTAGGTGATTGCCGGGAGATGCGTAAGTGAGCATCAATAGGGATAGTTGTTTGTATGGCTAGTGGTCCAAAATTGGGGGGTGTGGAGTTGACATAAGAGGAAAAGTTATGTAGGTAGGTGCGAAGAAGAGCAGCAGCCTACTGGTATGAGATATCCGGGGTGTTTTTGTTGAATGTTTCTAGAAAGTAGAGGAGTTCTTCTGAGGTGTACAGGTGGGAGTTGTTGAAGGACGCCTGGAGGTATAAAGAGATGGGAGAGTTTGCCCAGTCCGCTGGTAGGGTGGGGACGGTTGTGTAGGAGAAAGAGGAGAGAGATATGCATAGCCAACAATCTCTAGCTAAGGAAGGGTCTGAAATAGGAGACAGTGGGTTAGGCTGATGGTTTGTTGGAGGTAATTAGGTAGGGGTAGAGGGTAGCAGGAGATTGGGAGTGAGGTTAAGAGTGAGTATAAAAGAAAAGGACTTCATCGAGGTGGAAGAATTGGAGAGTTCCCTGCCATAGAAAGTCCTCTCTCTGCTCTAAGAGAGAGTTATGGGTGGCCGCCTGAGTGTAAAACCATGAAATATCAGCTGTAATTGCTTGGAGGACAAGTGTATACTGGCAATGTAAACAAGAGCAGGACATGTAAACAGAGACTTTCTGAGGTGTGTTAGGTATGTTAGGTTTATACAGGGTTATTCTTCCACTTTGGGGATATGGGTGAGTTTAAGAGAAGTCGGGGAGAGTACTTGCGACTTCCAGGAGGTGGCGGAGGAGTTAGGCTGATTGTCTGATGGACACAGCTTTATCCTGGAATGATGGACCCACTGGGGAGGGTCTTGTAGATGGACAGCAGTTGGGGTGCTACAGATGACCAGGAACGGTCCTGTCCATTGAGGCTGCAGAGACCAAGGGGTTAGGCTTTTAACTAGGACTGACCTCCCGGCTAGGGTGTCTTCATATGCCCGGTTGTCTGGAGTTCTAGAGTGGGTAAGAGAAAATTAGTGGCCTGGTGGATTTGATGTCTGGCCTATTACAGGACTGGAAGATAGTCACCAAGAGGACTGGTGTCTGAAATTAAGGTTAGGCCCAAGCAGAAAAGTGTGGCCATACAGGAGTTAAAAGGGGCTATACCCTCTGGGTTCTTTAGGAGTGGCTCGAATCCTGAGAGGAGCAAGAGGGGAGAACTGTCCAGTCTTTTTTTAGTT